ATGGTTCCAAACAACGGTGAGACCTATTTTTAAAAATTACAATTATCTTGAGTCCTAGTTGCCCTAGGGCAATTTCAGACTGTATTCTGAGCCCATGTTCATTATTACAGGCTGCACGTCTGAGTGGAACAGAGCTATGAAGACCCAGAGGGAGAAAATTTTTGCTTCTGAGGACTTGCTTGGTTTCTCCCCTGAATCCCTCTGGTTTTTTCCCCCAGGCCTTCACATCTTTATATATATATCAAATATGACAATTATATGAGCAAACCAACGTGTTCCTATGCTCCTAAAATGAAGAAAGTGATCTAGAGTTCCAAATGGCACTGGGGAAAAAAAGCCAACCCAAATAAGTATAGACTAGACAAGAACCTCAGAGAAATTCACCAAGCTAATTACTGGTGTATAGCGCGTGGTAAAATAGTTTTGCTGGTGGGTACATGGCAAGATTGTAAATAATATTTCATCACAGGCCCTATCTGTGCACTGTTTTCTTTTAGAATGGACACACTCCTAGACAAATGCTTTCACAAAAAGTGGACACTTAATTTTAAACACATACCTGTGCCCAGATGCAGGCACATACACAAGTAAAAAATATGCACTATATAGAGAATGTAGCTGTTAATCAAAAAGCTCCATACCAGTTGGTGTGCAGAGTGACAGAAATTTGTGAGAAGGCTTTTTAAAGGAACATGACTGCTACAGCAGACATAACGACCATACCTGTTAAATAAATATGGCAAAAAGCAAGAGTATTTGTAAATGATTCCTCATACACTGCTTTTTAACTCTGAATTTATTTTGGGGCAATTCTTGTCTCTTTCTTTTCAAGAAGGCAAGGAGGAAAAGTAAATCTTCCACGATCACCACCCCTGCACCCTCCATGATTTCATCGTTTTGTATGGCATTTCATTTCTAGGATGAAACTAAAGAAAGCTCTGGTCAAGCCATTTTACTGAGCATCAGAGAAAATGGATATTTTCTATGCTGGTTTCACAGGATCTAGAAAGCTCTTACCCTTTAATAAATTTCATCCAAATAAAAGGACTTAAAATTGAGTGAATTTTTTTTGTTGTTGGAAATAAAAAGTCAAGACATACACAGGCCAAAAAAAAAGTCAAGACACAGGAAGGAATAAAGACTCCCAAGACAATCATGCTTTGTTAACGCAGAGAAGAGGATTTTAAACCTAGCCTATCCATTAGAATGACCAGAAGGGTGTCAAAAATATCAATGTCCACTGTGATTTTCATCTTTCCCCCCCCCCCAACTTCTTCACCTTTTGTGGAGTTTATTGTTCAAAATGGCTTTCCTATCCATTAATTTCACTTTGCCATGTAGGTGGGCAGGAATATGCAAATAGGGTGTGTTAGCCTATACACAAGGGGATTGGCTTGTCTCACCATTAAATTGAGCAGATCCAGCAACAAAAGGAGGAACCTCACTACCAGTAAAGAGCAAGTAAAATGCAACTCGTCCTTCAGGACGTCCTGCTGCACTGTGGGGAACCAGAGACCTGACATGAGATGGGACCACAAAGCCAATTCCCATGAGGTTGGACATGTACCCCAGGCTCCCATATCACTTTCTACTCATCACAACACCAATCTCAAATTTTCATTCAACTGTTTCTGGTGCCCTAACTCTGACGGTGTAGTCTGTAGAGAGTTGCAATGTCAACCCCAAACACGGATGTGCAATCTCCTCTTGTGCGACTCACAGCCTGGAAAACCAAATGGAAGATCAGCTCTGAGTCAGTTCTGACCCAACATCAATGAATGAATAAGGTATGTATTTGGATATTAAACTCCAAATTGCCGTCAAGTGGGGATTGATTTACCCCTCCGGCGGAACCTCTCCAGTAGGTTTTTTGAGGCTGCAAATTGCATGGGAGAAGATTGTACATATTTTTCCCCTACTGAGCCACTGGTGGATTCAAACCATCAGAGATGCCACCTTTAGGTTCACTAAGCAGCTCTCTACCCACTGGGCCACCAGGCAACAAACCCAAAACTGAGCTCCCAATCTTCATCCTAAATCCTCTTGTTCCTTCTAGAGTCTTCCTCCATTTTTGTTTATAACTTCATTTGTACCTCGGGCCAAAAACCTTTACCCCAGATAACAGAAGTAACTACTGGCAGAGCTTTCTAGCAAGCAACATTTAGGTCTCCTGAGGTTTTTAGTTCAGTGATATCCCTCCACCATTCTGCTATAACATGCTCTCCACAACAATAAGCATCATAAATAAATGGCATGTTCTGCCACCAAGGCACCCACACTTAGGTGCTTAGCACTCACTGAGGTCCCGTTAAAGGTTCTCACTCTCTCACTTCACATTTTCAGACACTCCACGGTTGTCTTTAGGATTATACCAAGAGTCTTCCTGTTTTCTGAGGCTTTACAAGGTTCTGACAGCAAGGGAAGGGTGGAAGGTGGAGTACAAAAATCAATACTAGTAAAACAAATGCATTTTTAAAAAACCACAGGGCAGTAAGCTGCTGAAAGCAGAGAGTGTGATAGCATTCTGTTTGGAAAGCAGCCATAGAGCCTTCCGGGAAAGAGACTGCATCTCTATCTACAGCCAAAAGCAAAGATTGGAACTCTTAGGGGGGAAAAACACACCCACCTTTAAACTGACCTATTTGGCTGGGTTTTTTCTTCCTTTGTGTTCTTGGACTGACCTCAACTCCCCAAGATACCTAAAGGAGTCTTACTTGAGTCTCCACGCACGCACATGTGTACGTGTACCTATAGCTTACGTACTATCTTTTTTAAAAAAACATCAAAAATGTTTTCATTCTTTTTCACTGTTGCACATTTTCTTCCCTTCTTCCCTCCCCTTCTCCTAGCCCTCCCCACAGCGCACCCCTTGTTCCAGACTGTTGTCATACATATGATACCTAGTCATATATTCCTTTCAAAGAGTTCTTACCCTCATCTGGTTGAATGCAGTTCTTATTATTGGGGGGGGGAAACCAATGAACTCTTAAACATTGCACACAACATTAGGGGGAAGCATAGAGGACATTATGCAGAGTGAAATATCTCAATCACAAAAGGACAAATACTGTATCGCATCACTGTTATAAAATAAGACAGATATTGGGGGAGTTGCGAAGAGAATGGGAAAAGAATTATGTACCATCTTATCAGAAGTGACACACTGCTGCTCCCTCATGAGGGTTTTCAGAGGCACAAGAGGAGATTGGCCATCTTTCTCCCTCAGAGATGACGGTGGATTCAAACCACATGCCTCTGGGATGGCAGTGTAACACCTTCCTACAGCAATACTCAGTTGCAAAAGAGTGTCTGCTGTAATTGTTCATCCTCGCTGTAAGGGCTTGAATTTGTGTGCTAGTGGGTTTTGTCTTCCTGTGTCATCCTCTTGTGCAAGAAGTATGCCCTCCATACATTGAAGGCACTCTCTTTAAACATCAGCCAACTACTATTTTAGGTACAGCTGCTACAAATAATGAGAAAGAAAAGAAGTTCATAGTGGAATAAGGGAAGAAGGGATATTCACCAAACCCTTCTATATAATTTTCTGACTACATCACCAGAGAAGCAAGAAAGGATAGAGACTCCCATCAGACAAACGATTATGTTGACAACACAGCCAAGAACATGAAACCACTGACAGACAACTCACTAGTCTTTCCTACACCTGAATGAATAAGTGGTAATTGAGTGTTAGTGGCATTTATCTGTAGGGTTTTAGGCTGTGAGTCAAAAGGTTGTGCACCTCTGGTGATTCTATACCACCAATAACTCAGAGAGACAAAGATGGGTAGATCTCTTCCATTAAGATTTGCAGCATGGGAAACCCAACGGAGGAACACAGTCAGAGTCTATTTGAAGGTAGTGAATTTCTGAGTGATACTTGAATTTTATTCTTGATTGCGCTCCAATAACCTTATCTAGGACTCTTGGAGCTTATATCTGAGAGGACTAAATATGGGTCAGTAGCAGTGATATTAGAATTTGTCCAATTTGGTAATTCGTGGTGTTGTTGATTGTCATCACTTCAGATTTAATCTGCTTGTGAAGGCTCAGCAGTAGCTTCCTAAGAAATCTCTTCTCAGAAATGTGCATCAAAATATGCCTGTTTTGATGAGAAAAGTTTTTTAAGAGCACAGAGATAACATTTTTAGAAGATGCCATTCATCAATTTTATCCTCTTCAGATTGTGCATTTCTAACAGCATTTGGCAGTCTCTTTATACCATAGAGTAGGCATTTTAAGCTTGATCCCAGCTTGTCTCTCATGAAATTTACCATTTGGGGCTTTACTCCCAGGTCTCTGATCCACCGTGAATTGATTTTTGTATATGGTGTGAGGTGTGGATCATGTTTCAGCTTTTTGCAGGTAGCAGTCCAGTTGTTGAAAGAAGAGGTTTTCATTTCCCCAAAGAACAGGTTTTACTTCCTTGGTATATATCCATTTACTATGGATAGATAGGTCCTCTTCTGGGTTCTCCATTCTGTTCTATTGATCGGGAAGAAATATTTGGCAATACCATCTCAGGCAAGGGTCTCCAGAAGAAAAAGACACAATTACACAATTACAAAATGGGCAAAAGACATGAAAATATTTTCACAGGAGAAGACATTCTGATGGCAAATAGACACATGAAGAAATGCACAAAATCACTAGCAACAAGAGAGATGCAAATCAATACCACAATGAAATAACATCTCATCCCAGTAACAGTGACAAAGTTTAGCAGGGCAGCAAGTGATAAATGGTGGAGAGAATATGGAGAGATAGGAACTCTCTTACCCTTTGGATGAGATTGTAAAATGGTACAACCACTCTGGAAGACTGTTAGGCATTTCCTTAAAAAGGTGAACATTTAAACTTCACAAGACCCAGCTAGTCCACTATGAGAAATATACCCCAAGGAAATTAGAACTGAGACACCAACCGAGATCTGTACATCAATGTTCATAGCAGTGCTATTCATCTTTGCAAGATCATGGAAACAGCCCAAATGTCCAACTATGACTAAATGGATGATTGAGAAAGTGTGGTACATTCACACAATGGAATACTATGCAGCACTCAGGAGCAGCAATTTTGAAAAATACTACATAACTTGGGAGAGACTGGAGACCATTATGCTGAGTGGTCTCATGAGGATAAATACTGAACAAGACTGTTATTGTTAAAACAAAAGGATAAATGGTAAAACATATATGTGGATGCAAGGGGTGAAGGGATGGGAGCAGAGGGATGAGGATGGGCAGGGGTGAAACCGCAGAGTTTCACAGTTCACTGGATGGATGGAGGGGGTAAAGGAAATGGGACAGATCCAGTGGGGACCTGAAAAGATTGGGTAGTGATGGGTAATGTCCAATGGTGATTGATTTTACAAAACAATGCATGGGAATGATTGTATGAAACACAATGTGAATGAAGAATAGTGTGAAGCACAATGTATATGAACTTTGTGAGCAAACTTATATTTTTTTAAAAGTGAACTAAAGATGGGGTAGTGAGGAAAATGTGCAAGAATGAATGAATGAAAAATGCAATGTAAACATTCATTTAAATAACAAAAAAATTTAAAAACCCAACAAACTTTCCTGGTTTGAAAACCAAATAAGCAATCACAGCTGAACGAAATCCCAGGTGCACGTAGAGATCAAGAAACCAGAGTAATTGAACTGTTATTAAAGGTAGTACCTCCCATAGTGTAAAATCTCAACCCCTGGAGTTAGCCAAGAGATGGATAATAGAACAGTCTCTCTGATGTGAAGTTCATGAACACAATAGCTTTCTTTTTTTTTTTCTACACAGAGCATAAAGATAGTTGTAGCCACTCTGAGCTGCAGGAAACCTTTTTGGACAGCCTGTCTCGTATGACCCCATCATGGAATGCTTTGACCACCCAGCATCCCCTTGCCAGACATCCATATTTAGGTGATGGAAAACAATAGGTGTAAGAAATTTAGAATCCTTGGGACTGCCAAAAAATTCAGAGGTTCTTCTTTCTTTAACCAAATAAGGCCATATTTGGAAGAAAATATCCAAAATACGTGTTCCAGCAGTGTGCATTTGCAGCCAATAGATTTCCACTGGTAATACACATGAAATATATGACCATCAGCTGTTCTGCAGGATTCACTGCCTTTGAATGACCTGCTGGAGGGTCAGCTATGACTCGGTTCCAAATCAAGAGGAAACAACAAAGAAAGGGAAGAATGTAAGCACCAAAACCATATTCTAGAAGTTGATACTATGCCGAAGAATAACAATACAAAATGATAGTCCTCCCAATCACCCTGAGTCCATATTAGAAAGTTTGTCACTAGTGTTCCACTCACCAATCTCTCCATTCCAATTCCTTGTCCTCTTTTCAAGGGTTCTTATAAAATTATGTCTTCTCACCAGCAAAGGAGAGCAATCTAATGAAGTCTTTGAATTTAAAATCACTTTGCTTGAACAAAGGAATAGGCATGCTGTTGTTTTGTGCCTTCGAGTTACCTGCAACTCATAGCGACACTATTATGTACCCTAGCTCTGAAACCTGCCCTATCCTGAGCTGTTCTCATCATCTCTGAGAGACTTAATCTCATTTCTCCAGTCACTGAGTCAATTAATCTCATCCAGGGTCTTCCTCTCCTGCGTTGTCCCTCCACCCTCCCAAGCATGGGGTCCTTCTCCATGGACTGGTCCCTCCTGATCAGGTGCCCAAAGTATGTGAGAGGAAGCCTCAAAAATCCTTGCCTCCAGGGAGCAGCCTGGTTTCACCCCGTCCAGGACAGACCTATTTGTTCTCCTGGCAGTCCATGGTATGTTCAATGCTCGTCTCCAGCACCACAACTCAAAGGCATCATTTCTTCTTCTATCATCCATAGTTATCGTCCAGCTCTCAGATGCATAGCAAGTAATTGCGAAGACCATGGCCTACATCAGGCGCACCTTAGTCTCCAGACTGACATCGGGCATGATTTAATGTGGGGATCAGAAAACACAAAGCCTGGTTAATATGTAAGTTGTATTATCAGATTCTTGTTTAAACTGGAATTCCTGTTTTGCAACTTGCCAGCTGTGTGACCTCAAGCAAATTGCTTTATGACTCAGTTTTATCATCGATATAATGAAGATATTAATGCCTAATCTATAATCATGATCTGAAGATTCAATGAGATAATTTGTAAAAGCTACTAGACACAAAGGAATTACTAAATACATAAGAGCTATTTTTGTTAGTAATTAATAAGAGGAAGAAAACACTCTAGTAGCATCATCCTGGAAATTTAGGCAGTCCAGTTCCCATCTTATATTTGTGAACATTAAGTACGTAAGTCTCATTTTGAGATGTTAAGAGTAATACTAACACAATTAAAAGCTCATCCTAGGATGATAGAAGACAGATCAATGCCTTTGAGTTGTGGTGTTGGAGAAGAGTGCTGATCGTATCATGAACTGCCAGGAGAACAAACAGTTCTGTCTTGGAGGGGGTGAAACCAAGTTTCTCCTAGGAGGCTAGGATTTTTGAAGCTCCATCTCACTTACTTTGGGCTCATGGCCAAGAAAGACCAGTCCATGGAAAAGGACATCATGCTTGGAAGGGTGGAGGGACAGCACAGGAGAGGAAAATTCCACTATTGGAAATATACCCTAAAGAAACCAGAACCACCATCTAAATAGATATATGCACACTCATGTTTATTGTTGCATTATTTACAATAGCAAAAAGATGGAAGCAAACCACATGCCCATCAACAAATGAATGGATAGAAAAATTATGGCATACTCATACAATGGAATACTACACAGTACTGAAAAACAATGAACTAAGAAAACATACCCAACATGGGTGACCCTGCAGGACATAATGCTGAGTGAAATGTCTCAATCACAAGAAGACAAACACTACATAGCATCACTGTTATAAAGCAGGTCTGATATGGGAGGTTTAGAGGAGAATAGGATAAGAGTGGATAAATAATGAACATTGCATTGTAAAAAACTATTTAAGAGAGGGGAGCTCTGGTGGCCTAGTGGCAAGAAGCTGCAACTACAATCCCAGAGGTGCACGGTTCGAATCCACCAGATGCTCTGCTGGGGAAGGAGGGGCAATCTCCTCCTGTACTAGTCAGATCTGATCTGACAGTACACGCACACAAAAATAATAAAATTTTTTTTAAAAAGTAAAAAAAACCAAAAACAAACAAAAAAAACCTATTTAAGAGGAATATATGATTAGGCATGATAGGTACAACAACAGCCCAGAATAAGGGGTACATTCCAAAAAGTACTGGGGACTGGGGAGGTAATTGTGCAACAATGAATGTTTTTTTAAAAAAGTGAATGGGGGAAGGGGACGGGAGAGAGAGAGTAAAATGTGTAACAATTAATGAAAAAAATAAAACTTTTCTGTAAACTTGTTAACATAACAATTAAAATTGAAAGTTTTATTTTTAAAAGAAGAGTATATTGTCAGAGAACTGCCAGACATTCATTCTGGATTTAGAAGAGGACATGGCACCAGAGATATCAGTACAAGTCAGATGGATCTTGGATGAAAACAGAGAAAGCAAGAACATCTATTCCAGTGTCATCTGGAGAAGGCAACAAGCACCTTCTTTCTGCTCAAGGAGGCAAGATCCAACCATCCTCAGAAAAGATACAGGAAACATGGGGCAGATTTCCCGCTGGGCCCCCTGACGCCAGCCCACAGTGGGACCTACAGGTTCTCTGGCTCCTACAATGACTTTGTGTGGTCTTTCCCTAGTGAGCCTGTGAGGCTTCTGAACACGGGATTCCCTGGAAACAGAGATCCTTCACCCACTGAGCCCACCTCTTCTGATGAAGAATACCCTTGGGATCTCGACCCATCAACTAACTACAGAGACAGGACTCCAAAATGAGTTCACCTCCTGGGATCATTGTGCCCAGAATCTCTTTCAGATTGGAGTGACTGTCGTCATCATGGCAGCCATAGTAGGACTGCTGGCAGGAAGAGGCTTCAAGAGGAAGTTATCAAAGCCCCAAGTCAGGGACCCAGGATAAGGGTCAGAACACAAAGACCCTTCAACAAATGACCAAGAGCTATGGTGGCCGCGGTTAGGAGGTTACAAGTAAAAATGCAGGATCCCAGGAAGACGGAGACAAGTGGAGATGTCCATGAACACACGGTCTACAGATGCCGATGGAAACAAGAATGTTCCTCCACCACCAACACAGAAAGAAGGCATTCTCCCAGAGCCGATGGCCTGCATTTGGATTCCTAACCTCTGGAGCTTTAAGACAATAAATTTCTGTTTGCTAAAAAAAAAAAAAGAAGAAGAACATCAATTTGTGTTTTATTGACTATGCAAACGTATTTGACCAGGCAAAGGCATATGTGTGTATCATAATACATTATGGATAACATTGAGAAGAATGAGAATCCCAGAACACTTAATTGAGCTCATGTGCAACCTATATTTGGACTAGTAAGCAGTCATCTGAACAGAGCAAGGGAACACTGTGTAGTTTGTTCTAAAATCAAGAAAGATGTGCGGCAGGACTGTATCCTTTTCCTTATATATTCAATTTGTATGCCAAGCAAATAATTTAAGACATGTGGCATCAGGATTGGGGACTCATCAAGAGCCTGCATTATAAGGGAGCTCTGGTGACCTAGTGGCAAGAAGCTGCACTGCAATCCCAGAGGTTGTTGTTGTTGTTGTTAAGTGCCGTTGAGTCGTAGGCAACTCACAGCGACCCTATGAAAGTCCTCAACGCTTGTGTGACTTTCATCCTTTCTCCAGGTTCATAGCGTCTCCAGAAGCAAGCTATTACGAAAGTGGATGCCACTCCTGCTTCCAAGCCTGTTTTAATCGGGGAGCTCCACCAAACACTGTCCACCGTGGGTAACCATTATCGCATTTGACACATCAGTGTCACAGTGTTCAGCTTCAGAGCAACCACAAGTTACCTCTAAGAAGAATGTTTGAACAAAACCAATGAAAAACAGGCCTGAGGTCCGCGGGTTAGAAGTCACCAACCTTCGGATGAGTAGCATCACTTTCTCTCCACTAGGCCAGCTGAACTCTCTCTATGTTGGTGTTATTGTTTTTAAGTGCTGTCGCATCTTAGGCAACTCATAGGGACCCTATGAACAAAAGTCCTCTATACTTGCGTGACTTTCATTCTTTCTCCAGGTTCATAGGGTTTCCAGAGGCAAGATATTATGGAAGTGGATGCCACTCCTGCTTCCAAGCTTATAATGGAGCTCTGGTGGCCTAGTATCAAGAAGCTGCACTGCAATCCCAGAGGTACACGGTTCAAATCCACCAGATGCTCTGCTGGAGAAGGAGGGGCAATCTCCTCCTGTACAAGTAAGATCTGATTTATGGTACACACATACAAAAACAATAAAATTTTTAAAAAGAACCTGCGTTATATAGATGACAAAACTTTGCTTGCAGAGAGTGAAGAGGACTTGAAATGTTTGCTGCAGAAGATCAAGACTACAGCTTCTATATGGATTATATCTCAACAACAAGAAGACAAAAATCCTCACCATTGGGCCAATAGGTCACATCATGATAGATAGAGAAAAGATAGAAGTCACCAACAGTTTCGTCTTCTTTGGATCCATAATCAACATTCTTGATACCAGTAGTCAAGAAATCAAAAGACCCCATCAACAAACGAATGGCTAGAGAAGCTGTGGTATATTCGCACAATGGAATACTATGCTGCATTGAAGAACAAGGAACTCATCCAATATTATTCAAAATGGTTGACTCTGGAGAACATTATGCTGAGTGAAATATCCCAGTCACAAAAGGACAAATATTGCATGATGCCACTGTTGTAG